AAGTTAAGGTAAAAAAACAGTCATGGTCTTATCAGAATAATTCAACATGTTCAGTCAAATGTAACATTTGTAAATAAGTAATAGAGTTATGACAATTTTAGCGATTCTCAATAATTTACCTTGACAGTAAGGTCAAAAAATTCCAGATCATATTTGAATATTTGAACATAAAAATTTTGTCATAAATGTTCCTTTGCTCTAGTATGAATTTAACCTGTAAATGAATAAAGTATGGGCAATTTAAGCAATATTCATTAATTTGACCTTGTCCCAAGGATCGTTTTGTATAAGTACAAGGACAATAAATTGTTAAAGTGATACCCAATTATAGCAAAAAAAATCAAACTATGAAATTACAATAATTTTACCTAAAAGGTTATTAATGAGTGCAGGTCATAATATACATGTATTTGGTCTGCTATAAGCTCTTGTCCAACAGATTGTCGTTTCAAAGTATGAAGGTAATATATTAAGAAAAAAAATGCCCTAAGTTAAATTTTTCGGACAGCACCCGGGGAACGGGCGATATAACTGTAGAAACACTTAGATGTTTTCTTCAAACGAAAGAAAAAAGCGAGCTAAAAACTAATTTTGAAACAAACTTATGAACACTATGACAATAAGATTTTATAAAAATCACTAAAATCCACATGTATTTAATTTTTTCCAGTCTATAGCTTCAGCATATTTGCGCAACACTTCAACACCAATATGATTAAACTCAACTGTCTATTTATATGAAATGAAATTATTATTAAAAGTTTTTTGTGTCTACCTTAGTTATCTGTAATTGAAAATGGCCGATTTCTCTGAAAACTAGGTTCATTTTTCCGAAATCAATCCCGAAACGAGTACTACAAATTGAAACTTGCCGTTTAGAAATATACACATGCATTGGTAAAGATAAAAATCTAATAACTTGTCCCGTATTCTTTTGTTCGGAATGAAATTATTGGTCGCTATAAATAGAAATGACACGATTCAAAGTAACTCGTACCGTTCAGCCGTTTTTTTCTCAAATGGCTGTCAACTCCTATTGGTGTGTAATCAAATGCATTTTTTCTAACTGACTAAGTTCATATGTGTCATTAAATTACAGTAACTTTTATCAAAAGAAAAAAAAACATACAAACAAAAATGACAATTCAGATGTACAATAGAATTGCAAAGTTTTACTGCTTAACATATCTACGTTTAAATGAATAAATAGTTCAGCTGCTTTTTCCAATTGAATTTTGTCTTATAAAACTATGGTGTCTGACCTCTGCCATTTTGTTATTTCATTTTGTTAAAGGGGCAACAAAGCGAAAGAGTCTCATTGAGAAACATATATTTATAATTTTTTTCACAGTATCTTTTTTTCGTTTTGAAGTTGTTCAATGACGGTGCCCTTTAACAGCTACAACAAAAAATAACGAAAAACGAGAGTGGATACAAGATATGTTATACAACAAAATATTTTATTGCCCCATATTTGGCGTTTGTCGCCTTAAATTTGGCGCCTGTGTTTCCCACAGATTCCATTCTCTGATTTTCTTTTTCGTTTTTTTTTCAGTTGTGAAATGAAATAATGAAATGGCAGAAATCAGCTACCTTATATCAGCTACCATAGAAAATCAAATTTAAATTTTAATAATTATATTAAACACTACAGCCTGCTTAAAGTATATAGATAAATACTAATGAATAGCTTCAAATTAAGCTTTTAGTATTCTATCATTTTAATTGTCAAACTCTTTTAAGTTTTGGTATCTTGTTACAATTTACAAAATTTTTAGTCATTTGTCACATATATTAACTATATTTTCTCTCCCTTTGCTCTTTGGAAATCGGTATTAACAGTAACAGGAGAGTGTTTTTGTATGGAAGTCAAAACACAACTTTGTTAACATTTTCACTATTTACATTATTACACATAATCGAACGTTTAAATCTACTTGCTTTAGGAAATAAACATCTAAAATGCCCACACTCGATTATTTTAACATTATAAAGACCTGTTTGACTTTTCTAAAGAATAAAAAATTACTGATTTCTAAAGGCACAATGTGCCCCTAAGATAATTTTAGTATACTAGTGGTTACTTTACTGATAAGTTATAGACAAGATACCCTTAAAAGTTTTCTTTCATATTACATAGTAGTTTTTAAAATGATTTTAAGAAGTAACCTGCTTTAAGATCAAGAAGAACCAGACCAAGTTCCTGGGAATTCTATTATACATAAATATAATATTACAACAAAGACTTAAAAGACAAAAAAATTATACACAATACTACTTAAGTGAATTTTTCTTATCCGGTCATCTTATAAATTTGTTCTCTTTCAACTTTTACATTCCATTCTGGTGATATTACTAGTTAAGGCAAAAAGTTTTAAGCGGGTGTTACTTCTGATATAATATATATTTTCTATATGGTAAAATTGTTATCATACCATTACATTAACTGCATTTCATCACTTTCAGACTTTACAGATAGTATAATAGATAAAATAACATAACTTGATAGTTTAATACCCGCAATACATACACAAGAATTTAACAACCATTTGGACATTTTTTCTTAACATTATTCTTTGTTCAATGTTTTGTATTGTATCATGGATTTAACCAATTATAGGTAATAATAAATTTATCCATTCATCTCTGTGACTTTAATGATTTAAATTCTCATGAATGGTTCAGCAATTTTGAATAATTCGGCCATTGTCACAAATAAAGTCTGAATCAAAAAGCATGATTGATTAACTCTGAACGTAAACATGATTGGCTTACTCTAAACAAAAGTATGATTTTCTCACTCTGAATATAAGCATGATTGGCTAGTTCGGTGTTGACAACAAACTTTCTAATACTTTTTCATTTATTTATTCATAGAAGATGCAGTTTTCTTTAAATTGAATAGAACTTCATTGAACGCCGCCTTTTCTTATTGATCTTGTTTATCATATTTTTTAATGCGTCCTAAAATAAATTCAGTAATTTTTCGGTTCGCTTTGTAACAAAAATAGTAAGAGAGTTATTATTGCAAGAGAGTTATTTACATGGATAAAGAAGGAACAATTTAGTTCCAAAATCTTTCGCTCTAAATGTAAAAGGTGACTCTTAAGATGAGTGTTTAACCTCTTTTCGTGCAGTAGCGTCTGCAGGAACAGCCACACATATGGTATTCCAAGAAATATTATGACATCAGATGCAGAATTCATTTAGGCAAAAATGATATACGAGTCAGGTATATTTTAAATTATTTTTCAATAAAAGATTACATGTGACTATCAAGGCACTTCTCCTGACCGTGTAACTATGACTTCATCCCAATAAAGTCACAAGCTTGAAATTATTCAGTATATTTCAAGTTTCTTTAAGTAGATCAACGTGTATATGAGTATATCATAGTTTATATATTGATAACCATCAGTGATGTTCATGCCTTACCTAATGTGTAATAATGTTAAGGAAAGGGAAAATGACACCTCCATGCACCACAGCGTATAAACGCATGGCAGACTTTAACTATTGTTCTTTTATCATGCATCGAATCTGTCACTTAAATAAAATAATAATAATAATAATAATTACTATTATTATTATTTTTACTATTATTATTATTATTGTTATTATCATTATTATTATTATTATTGTTATTGTTACTATTATACAACAGCAGCAGCCCATGGACGAAGCTAAAGTTCAATATTATCTTCTTTTTTTCATTACTACAAGTATCGGCAATATATGATATTCAAGCTGCTTCCATGTATTGGAGAATAATAGTTTTCTCAAAAAGGTCATTGCACGCAGAAGTTATTGTGGATGGACGATCTTATATTTCGGTTTTTTATTATTATCAACTATAAGACCGTGAGCGTGATTATCACGGCATTGCGTCGTGTAATTATTAAACAAAAGTGACGAGGATTACGTGGTGCATGATTTAAACTTATTTAGAGGCTTTTCTGACAAATATATATCTTGAACGCTTAGTTCAAATGCAAAAAAAACAACAAATATTGTTAACTTCTGGGCTCTAAAGTGTCGGTCGTTTGTTTTTCTTTTTTTCTTTATACTTATCAGAAAAAAGCAAAATGTATGTAAAGGGAAAAGACACATGTTTTCATTTAAAAAGAATTAAATATAAAATATGTTTTACAAGTCATCTCCATGTTTTGGAAAAAAACATTGCATTCTCAAAAATATTATATCACTAGAAGCGAAATTAATTTTGAAAAATGGTACATCATTCATGTTATTTAAAGTGAAAATAAGACCGTATGTGTAATTATCACGACACTTCTCCCAACCGTGTGAATATTACGCCGCCGCGTTATAAACACACGCTTTATATTATTACCATGAAAGTGATAATTACGCGACATCAGTTCTTTATATTTCACTTGAACAGAGTAAAGACGTTTCATATTTTTTCACATGATTATCTACGTAAAATGTTTTGTCACTTTATACATACAAAGAAACATACCATAAAATATGGTAAATGTTATTCAACTCCCCTCATGCTACGCAGCTGCACTGTACAGCGCAAAGACAATTGAATTATCAATAGGTGTGCAATTCGGTTTGATACACACTTTATCGTCGTCATTTTGAACAATACTAGAAATATTATATCATTATTGTTATAGTAATTTGTGAAAATGAAGTGAATTTCTTAAGTTACTGACTTTCACAGGAAAACACCCGAGGACGTAATTCTTAAAAATAGATAACAGTTTTTACCCCGCCCACTTTCAGATTTATATATATTGCATATTTGATGAACCAGTTTTAACTGATGCAATATAAGATAATAACAAATATCTGTTGTTTTCCTAGAAAAATACATTTTTGATATAAAATTTTGATTTCGGTTGATTTGAAAAATATTGTTGTGTTACTTGAAAGAAAAAAACCCTTATAATAAACTCTATGACAAAGTTCTATCTGTCTACTTAATATGTAATACTATGATAATGTGTAAATGAAAGAAACTGTATTCATACTCCGCAAACATTTGCATTCTTGTCTGTCCGTAGTGGCATCACCACACGTAATTCCGACATTTCCTGCCCTGTTTGGACCAGTTCCGTAAATATTGGAGCATTGTTGATCTATCATAAAAAAAGTAAAATTAAATTTGAAATAGATTAACTTAAAAGATACTCAAAACTTGAAAGAAATATCATTTAATAGCAAGAAAGAGCAATAATACCCTATAACTTTTATTCTCGCTGATTACATTTTAAAGTAACATAAAATTCTAAGTGACACAAAATTTGAAATGATACTATATTATTTGCATTAAAAATTATACTATAATGATTTTATGAACGAATTGAAAATGTGTTAAAAGTTGATACAAATGCTTAAAACAGAATATCAAATTGAACTTATAGTGGATTTGGTCTACAGTGGGCGCATTTCTCATAAATATCTAACAAGTTGACAAAATCAATAGAAATGTTTCATTTGGATATTCTTATAATGTATGTATTGCATGAATCAAACTTGTTGATACAATCATAAGTGATTAAGTATTATCATTATGCTAGCATCATGCATTAATAATTCTTTCGTTGTTTGTATTTATGTCTGATACTAAGTAGTATCATCTTTATTAGACCTTCCATGAAAGACCAATTCACTTCAAATGAAAAGCATCTTAAAAGGGAAACACTTGTTTGTCAGTTTGTAAAAATAATTAAATCATTACGGCATGTATTGACACTATTTCGTTGTTTCTTGTAGTATTTTACCTGGGTTATAGTAGTCGTAGACTTTAATTGATGCCGGCTGTCTAGAGTTTTTGTCACCTTCAAAATTATCTATCACTCTAAAGATGAATTTTGTCTCGTTAAAAGTAATCTTCAATACAAAAAGCAACATGATCGTAAAAAGATTAAAGTTAAAATTAGAACAGTCATAATGTTGCACGTTTTACTCAATAGAAACATCTTTAATAAATTTTACAGTTAAAAAGTTCCTATTTTCATTATTACATTATTAAGTATTTCTAAGGTCAGCGTAAAGATCACAGGCTAGGTTAAACTCGTAAAGGAACAGTAAAAAACACATGTTGATTTCAATGATGAAAGCTGGGCATTTATTATTTTGCCATAAAAAAATATTATTGATATCCATAATGAGTTAAACTGGGAGGCAATAACCACCAGAAAAAATTATATGGTAAAAAAATTACACGGAAAGAATGAACACACAAGTGGTAAATTTAGAAATATAAAAACGGCTATTTAATATAAATCAGTATATAAGAAACTCATATCAATTTTTAGTAATAATTTTAAGGCCCTTTAAGCCTTAAATTGCTATCTTTTAATACATTTTTAAGGATTTTATTTTAAATATCCTGTTCAATTTTCCGTCGGCCATATCGCTTACCCATTTATTTTTCCTTTTGCATTATGGTAATTTTTACAACAAAGAAGGTGTTTGGAGTGATTGGGTTTTAATTTTAGAAAAAAAATCGAAGAACAACCAACGCAACCCTCCTCGTAAGATATTTTTATGAAACCGAAGGGGGCATATTGAAATCGCAATTTGCCTGTCTGTCCGTTTCTCAGTGTGTCCTACCATTTATAACCTTCGTGTCCGGACTGTAACGTTGTCATGCATTAAAGGGTTTTTAAATATCTTCGGACAAATGTCTTCTACATGAAGACGACGGGTCGAGTCTGATACCTGCTTCACTACCTCAAGGTCAATGTCACACTGTTTGAAGGCACTCACTCGCACAAAAGGAGTTTAAAGGTAGACATGCTTGTCCAGACTGTAATTTTGTAATGCATTTAAAGGGATATTTAGGCAAAATAATGACAAAAATATTAAAATGATCTTTTGTACTCAACTGGCGCTAAAACGACATTTCTAAATGTTTCAGCATGAATTTCTCTTTAAATTCTATATATTTTGGATTTGAAACATAAATATATCTATATATGTTGAACAAAATTGAGACGCCAATAGAATCACCGATTAGTTTCAAAACAAGTCAGGTGACTTGAACAAATCCTTGAAGTTACATCAACAGATACTGTGGATATTGTATGACTGAAACAAGTCAAAATCATTCATTTAACATGTTCTTTAACATTTCCAGAGTTCACTGTGACAACTATTGTGAAGTCCTAGCGCTCTAACCTGACCCACGCGGGTCAGGTTAGGAAACCACCATTTCATGCTTTATATGGAGGAAAGTTTTGTTCCTTTTACTGCCTAATATACTCATTTTGAGGGCATTTACAGAATTATGAAAAAAAAAAAAATGCAAAACTAAGAAATGAAAATTTTGCCTGTGTCTCCCTTTAAGGGGTTTTAAAATAACTTGATACAAATTTCTACCATATTAACACATTGTGTCGCTTCTAAGGTCAATGCCACTACCTAAAAGGTCAAGGTCATACTAATTTGAACTAGGTTGAAGGTACACATTTGTGTCAAAATTGTAACTTTGTCATGTATGGAGGGATTCTTATATTATCATTATTATAATGTGTCACATCTAAGAACCATGTCCATACGTCAACGGTGATGATCACGTTTACAGTTTGAAGGTTTCACATTCTTAAGTAGAATTTAAAAGTATACACCCTGGTCAGTCGGCATTTTTGCGTGACAGCTCTGGTTGTATATCTATTGTTATTATTGGCACTTTTTTCATTTCCATTAGCCTTCATGCTCACATTCAATCAAACAGAGAATTCAATTTTCATGTAATTTTGTTGTGATTAGTGCTTCCGAGGGATAACTCACTATATCAAGATTTTTAAATGTATTACATGATAGATTGTTGTTATCGCTTGATTGGTTGACCAAAACTTATGCATTCAGATAAATTCGAGTAAAAGTAGTCATGTTGCGATGTTTTAGAAATTGATCCACCGACACAATGTATCAAAAATAGTATAATATTCATCGAAAATAAAAATAGCATTGACAATCATCACGATAGTGATATGTATACCTTTTTATAATGGAAAATATCATAAAGTTTAAACGTACCTTCATTAAGTAGAACACTATAAACCCTTTTCCATTTGATGGCATCTCATATCTAGCAATGTTTGTATTATTTTTGATAAGCTGAAATAATAATAATATATAAAGCAAAGAAAGATATCTAGATATCATCATAAATTATGACAGGTTAGATTTTGAAATTAATAATTTTACGCATACCTTTATTTGTTTCACATAACGTCGCTGTGCTCAGATGAATATTAAAATTTGCAGGGTGTATACATTTCATTTAATTCTTTACCAAAATATATGTGTCTAAGAATGTTATTCAGATTAAGATATAACTGCTAATCAGGGGCTAATGTGTAGGCCCATATAAGGGGGTTGGGGGACTAAGCCTCCAGAAGCCAAAAACAAGTTCATATTAAAAAGAGCAAATCGCGCGTTCTAAAGTATTTTCAAGGAAAATTATCAAAAAACTAATTTGAAATTATGAATTTGATTAGATGCCAACTTTATTGAGAACGGTAAATTATGCATCAGCATAAAAGACACATGATTTGACCATACGGCTTGAACACACTACCAATTCCAATCACGCCTGTTTTTATTGTATTTTTGGACTTTTGAAAATGTCAAAGTCTTGACCAACTAAGGCCTGGGTCTAAATAGTAGCTACGCCACTGCTAATTAATTATCGGGACAACAAACAGAGCCGTAAAGGTATACATATACATGTGCAGCTTCGGACGACTGTAGATAACATCATGAACAATATCCTTGTAAGTGTTGCAATGAAGGAATTTAACGTTGCATTCGTTTGCTTTCCTTAAATTTCCACATATTGTTACTTTTTTCACATGAAGGAACAGTAAGAGGGAAGTTGGATTTTTCTAAATAAAGAAAATGACTATATTGACATTTATTTAAGCATTATACCGAAGCTTCATCGAAAAAGTACCAAACCATGAACGTGGCTACAAATCATATCGTTGCGTCACCTCACGGACTTTGAGAAAACTAATTTTAAAAGAGAAAACGGTGGACATACTCTGAGAGTAAATTTACAGATGAAAGTAGACATTGACCTGTTCTTCTTTAGAAAAATAGTTACATATCAACCAATCTGAGACAGCATGACAAATTTATTTGATTGTATAATAAAACTAGAAGGGTTTTTGTCACAAAAACATATGTCTCCTAAAACTATGTATGGTCACTCATGTGAAATATAATAAACAATATCGACAAGGAAAGGCGGCGTTCAATGAACGCAACCCCCACTGAAATCCCACCACTAGCTTGACCTGTGAAAGGCGGACAAGATTTTTCTATTTTTAGCTCTGGTGGCCATTTTGTGCAGCTAAGTGGAACGGGTGATGTGCACAACTAAGGATGGTACAGATCACTTCAGTAAAGTTTGTTGAAATCCAACCAGTAGTTTGACCTGTAAAGGGCAGACAAGATTTTTCAAATTTTAGCTCTGGTGGCCATTTTGTGCAGCGAAGCGGAACGTGCTGGTAATGTTCACAACCAGGGATGGTACTGATCACTCCTGTAAAGTTTGGTTGAAATCCCACCAGTAGTTTGACCCGTGAAGACTGGATAGATTTTTTCTGTTTTTAGCTCTGGTGGCCATTTTGTGCAACGAAGCGGAACGTGTCGGTGATGTGCACAACTACGGATAGTACTGATCACTCCTATTAAGTTTGGTTGAAACCCCACCAGTAGTTTGACCTGTGAAAGGCGGACAAGATTTTTCTATTTTTAGCTCTGATGGCCATTTTGTGCAGCGAAGGGGAACGTGTCGGTGATGTGCACAACTAAGGATGGTACTGATCAATCCTGTAAAGTTTGATTGAAATCCCACCAGTAGTTTGACCTGTGAAGGGCGGACAAGATTTTTCTTTTTTCAGCTCTATTGGCCATGTTGTGCAGCGAAGCGGAACGTGCCGGTGATGTGCACAACTAGGGATGGTACTGATCACTCCTGTAAAGTTTGATTGAAATCCCACCAGTAGTTTGACCTGTGAAGGGCGGACAAGCTCAATGCGGACGGAAAACGGACGGACAGACGGACAGACAGATGGCGAAGGCAAAAAAAATATGTCTCCCAAAAATTTTGGGGAGACATAATGAACAATTAAGTATTTGTTGGACAGGTAATGATATTAAAATTATAACAGGATGAGAAAACGGTATGGTATTCTAGAAATAACCTTTGAGCTTTGTATTAGGCATTGGAAGATAATAAAATCTTCTTACAACAAACTCTTTTAAATATTGATAAGTGAAGCAATTGTTGTGGAAACCTACATGCTTTTGCATTAGTACATTTACCATTCATATGTATCGTTCCTGTTTGATATTGGAATTGAACAGAGAACGTGAAATATATTATTAAATATTCGATTTACCGAATCTTTTTCCCCACAAAAGATTGCTGTTTAATCATTTACATTTTATTTATCACAGGATATAAATAAATCACAATATCAAGCTGATTTGCATTTTTTGCAACCTACTTTTTTATACGAGCTAGGTATTTATAACTTGGTAAGTAATGTTGTATTATAATATTTCTTGCGGTATTCTCTACTTGTTTATATTTTGTTTTTTATTATTTTCTTTTATTTTTATTTATTTTTTTTGTAACAGGACCTTTCGCATTTTCATTATTTCATCCTTACTACAAATCCAGTTTTCACCTTTTATGCCCGTATAGACTTTTTGTTCATATATTATCTATATCTTGTTTATAATATATATTTTTATAATACTATTATAATTTTAACAAATTGTGCTCTGTCTTTGGACTGATTTTCCAGCCTTTTCACGTGCTAAAAATTTAAAAAATAATGATGCGGCGCGTTCAACTATTAACACAATGCTCAGAATAAAATGTGAGAATGGGTGTCATAACATTGCATATGGTTTCTTTTGATTAGACAGCGATCCCTATATCAAGACAAGAGCTATGCCCCCGAAGAATTCTAGTCATATACCACCTATTACATGTTAAGTGTGGTGGTAAAAAATGACAAAGTTTAAACCTCAGCAGTGACCTTTAAGTGAGACAAAAAACCTGGGTCTTGTTCACAACACATTGTCCATCTATGATGACTTTATATTTTTAAATAAAAATCGAAACTTTCATGTATATGGAAGTTACAGAGGGGACAGAACAACCACCATTTATATGTATATAATATAAATAATGAAAAAGTTTAAACCCCAGCAGTGACCTTGAACTAAAGCGTAGGAACACGTGTCTTAAAAGCAACACATTATACATTAATGATAATTTCATATATGAAATAAAAAATATAATCCTTTCATGCATATTAGTTTCAGTTCAGACACGACAATCTCTGCCTGTATGTATATTAACAACCTTGACCTAAAAATAATAAGCAAGATCATCTATGATTATTTCATATATGGAAGAAAAATTAAAATTCTTTCATGCATGTTTCAGAGCGGACACGACCACCACTGCCTATACGTATAAAGCGGGACGGACTGACGGACGAAGTGACAGAGAGACTGGCGGTTCGATTTTAATATGCCACCCTTCGGAGGCATAAAAAACAACACTATTTGAGTAGATTATCTATAGAACATAGTGGTATAGTCATATAATTGGTCAACGCTTGTGTACACCAAACAGAGGTTATGACAAAATTTATTTTTATTAAATAATTATTTTTATTCTTTTGCGTTGTAAAGCCGAAAGTCATTTTAATTCAGTTTCTTCAGAAAATAAATATATATATGCATATTTTATATTAAATTATTACATGTCTGCATCACTTGTGGGTTGCGCATCGCATGAGTGTATCTACCGGAAGGTAATTATTAAGTACAGAGTAACTGACAACATTGATAACCTTGTTCGCCGTCCATCGGACCAATGTTAATCAGCCGCACAAGATAATCAAACCGAACAATTACATCGTAAGCAGGAAAGACATACATTGCGTCATTTTAACCAAACAAACGCTCGGGAGAAACGGACGATACATTTTGGAAAACGAACGCCTTCAGACGTAATAAAATGAATCGCCACGTACGAGTGATTAGTTAAGTGCCACAAACTATTGTTGAGTTAGATACAAAAATCGTTCAAGACAGTGACTTTCAAGGAATTCCTTATTTCTCTTTATTTTATCGCCACATCAGCGTTGTTTGTGCCGTGTGGATGCTGTAAAAAGTCGCCCCGTACATTCAATCAGGGATGTTATATTTTCTATCCTTAAAGATTGTTCAGCACGACAGTATTGTTGTGCTTGTGGTATTTTAGTTATTTCCATTTGGCTTTTTTCTTGCTGGGTGGTTCCAGTATGCCTTACTTGAATACTGTTGAATCACCCAAAGGATAATTGGCCTGCTTTTTAAATTTGTCTTTTGACGTATTAGCTGTGATATGCAGGCTTCATAACCTCTGATCCCCTTTCAAAATTCCATTTTATTTAGTTCCGCCCATTGTTTTCTCGTTTAGGACACAAGCATTTTTTACTTGGGGACCATATGCCCCTTTTCATGGAATGGCACTAACGTGTCGCATTGAAGGTTCCATGATAACCGCCATATGATCGCATCTGCGGATGTTTCTAAATTCCAAATTTTATCAAGATCATGTTAAATGTTGAATTAAGCCGGTGAAAGAGGGTGTGGACGGTAACTTGCACTTTCCAGTACCGTCCATGAACAGTCTCAATCAAACCGAGCCTGCAATATTTTCAATTTTGTTGTTTTAGACGTTCTTAAGGGATTCTTTATTTCTCTCTATTTTGGCAAATTTGCCCAAACATTGCCTTTAACGGTATGTAACGTTCGTTCTTGCGACGACGCTGCCATGCTTCAATCAAAAGTAGGGATGGGGATACACGGTATTAGAGCATCATTCTGCAACATCGACTTTCTACACGCACTCGCCTGTGTTAAAAAGTTGTATCTTAAATTGAAAAAAACTGAGTGAAAAATGAAAACGTGCCTCTTTTCTGTATTTATTGAAAAGAATAAGTTACCAACAAGGCATTAAGCTCTGTAATTGTACGAATTCAACATCAATAATTAAGTAATAGTAAGTTTTTCAAAACATGACTTATTAGCTATATAAAATGGCAAATTTGACAGTAAAAGATATTTTCATATTTAAAACGTACATGCCATTTACAATGCATAATTGCCAAAGAGTGAATTCTAGGTCATTTGCTGCTGTATGTGCTTAAAATTAGATATGAAGAGTCACACAATGCACTTTGTCCTTTTCATATAATGATATAATGATCCATGTATATATATATATATATAAAAAAAGTATGTTTTGGGAAATGCAGAGTACAAAGTTCTTTAATTTTTTATACGTTTATTTCTGTTAGCGCTTTCAAATGTTTCTACATATCTTCAGACAGTAACGTATAATATAAACATAACAAATATAACAATGACGTAACGTTATAAAAGTGCGGGAAACGTAAAAATACGACGTTGCGCTGGAAATGAGATATTCTTTTACCTTCTATATAAGAAGTATGAAATTGCTACAAAAATACATAGGGTAAATATTCTATAAAGGGAGGTAATAAATAAGTATTAAAATTCAAAACATTGACTAATTATAGAAGTAGATACAACGTTTGCATTACCTATAAATACTTTTTAATATAAGTGAGCTAAACGAGTAAAAATATGTCAGAAAATGTATTACTTGAAACCATGTGGAAATGGAAAAATATTTACTTATATAAATTTCTTGCATGAACCGTTATATAGACTAAATAAAGGGAGGTAATAAATATGCTTTAAAATGAAAAGCATTGACTTATCATAGAAGTAAATGCAAAATTTGTATTACTAATAAGTACTTTTTTATATAAATTAGCTTAACGAGTAAAAAAATATCAGACAGAAAGTAACTTTAAACCATGTGGAAATGTAAAATAATTGTTATATATAAATACCCAAGTTTATTGTAAAAGGTTAATATGAGCTGTTTAATTGTGGCTTCAATATGCTTATAAGAAATAATTCTTTTTCATCTCTGAAATGATCATCAATCTTCAGTACTTTATATAGGGGAAATATATTAAACTTTCCCCCTGAACACTCATGTAGATGTTTATTCACCTTAAGAAAACGAAGTGACTCTGTATTAGTTTGTTGTCTATGTAAATTCATTCGTAAGTTTAATCCATTTCTAGTTTGCCCAATATAAAATTGTTGACAATTTGGACAAATAATACTATATATTACATTTTTAGTTATACAGGTCATACTTTGTTTTACTGTGAAATTTTTGCCATTTGTAAACTGAATTGTGTTACCTTCGATAATTGAAGGACATGTCTTACACCTGGTTCTGTTACATTTTGTTACAGACGGAATGTCCACTTTCATATCAAATCTGGAGGGTGATAAAAGTTGTTTTAAGTTTTTCGGCTGTCTTTTACTGTTTATAATTCTTTTCTTTTGTAATATATTCTTCATTCTTTCACTCTTTTGTAGAATTATTTTACAAGAATTTATAACTGGGAACATGTTTGTATTTCTGGGATTGTGTGTTGAAACGAAAGGGATAACATCATGGGCGGAAGTACGAGTGTCTTTACGATCAGTGGTCTTGATGGGTCCCTTCGATATAGCCTGCTCTATTCCATGTTGTATCAGTACATCTGGATAATTCTGTTGTTTTAACTGTAATTTCAATTCTGTTAGACGCTTTTCTTGTAAGTCTTTATTTTTCACGATAGTAATAATTCTTGAAGCTAAATTGAATGGTATGTTAACTTTAGTATGCTTAGGATGACATGATCTAAAATCTAAATAGTTGTGTGTATCTGTAGGTTTACAGTATAAATCTGTACAAATGTTATTTCCTGACTTCAAAACAAGAATATCCAAAAAAGCCATCGCACTTTCACTTTCATTATATGTGAATTGTATACTTTGATGCAAGTTATTAAGTTCGTTTAAAAAATCAGACGTGTCAATTTCTTTTGGTAGAATTAAAAAGCAATCGTCAAGAAATCTCTTCCAGTTAAGTCTTAAATAGATTGAAAATTCATTGTTGTATTTAGTTTTCATCCTTTCATAAAGAGCTTCTTCTAAGTATCCGAGGACTAAGGTAGCGTAAGTTGGAGCGATATATGTTATTCCATTATGTGTAACAGGTTTGCTCGAATAGGTGACATTTTCACTGGATTGATTTGCTTTGAAGTTGCGGTAATTATTTTCTTTTTTGCTTCTGTTCATCACCCTTGTATTTCTTGGTTGTGTATTATTCGCATAATTTATCGTCGAATTTGTGTTTCTAAAAGTATGTTGTACACGGTTTGATCTATGCGTAAAATCGCGGATGTAATTATCTCCTGATGTATACTATATTCAGAAAAAAAGCGCAGCTATGGGTACCATTATCGCTCCAACTTACGCTACCTTAGTCCTCGGATACTTAGAAGAAGCTCTTTATGAAAGGATGAAAACTAAATACAACAATGAATTTTCAATCTATTTAAGACTTAACTGGAAGAGATTTCTTGACGATTGCTTTTTAATTCTACCAAAAGAAATTGACACGTCTGATTTTTTAAACGAACTTAATAACTTGCATCAAAGTATACAATTCACATATAATGAAAGTGAAAGTGCGATGGCTTTTTTGGATATTCTTGTTTTGAAGTCAGGAAATAACATTTGTACAGATTTATACTGTAAACCTACAGATACACACAACTATTTAGATTTTAGATCATGTCATCCTAAGCATACTAAAGTTAACATACCATTCAATTTAGCTTCAAGAATTATTACTATCGTGAAAAATAAAGACTTACAAGAAAAGCGTCTAACAGAATTGAAATTACAGTTAAAACAACAGAATTATCCAGATGTACTGATACAACATGGAATAGAGCAGGCTATATCGAAGGGACCCATCAAGACCACTGATCGTAAAGACACTCGTACTTCCGCCCATGATGTTATCCCTTTCGTTTCAACACACAATCCCAGAAATACAAACATGTTCCCAGTTATAAATTCTTGTAAAATAATTCTACAAAAGAGTGAAAGAATGAAGAATATATTACAAAAGAAAAGAATTATAAACAGTAAAAGACAGCCGAAAAACTTAAAACAACTTTTATCACCCTCCAGATTTGATATGAAAGTGGACATTCCGTCTGTAACAAAATGTAACAGAACCAGGTGTAAGACATGTCCTTCAATTATCGAAGGTAACACAATTCAGTTTACAAATGGCAAAAATTTCACAGTAAAACAAAGTATGACCTGTATTACTAAAAATGTAATATATAGTATTATTTGTCCAAATTGTCAACAATTTTATATTGGGCAAACTAGAAATGGATTAAACTTACGAATGAATTTACATAGACAACAAACTAATACAGAGTCACTTCGTTTTCTTAAGGTGAATAAACATCTACATGAGTGTTCAGGGGGAAAGTTTAATATATTTCCCCTATATAAAGTACTGAAGATTGATGATCATTTCAGAGATGAAAAAGAATTATTTCTTATAAGCATATTGAAGCCACAATTAAACAGCTCATATTAACCTTTTACAATAAACTTGGGTATTTATATATAACAATTATTTTACATTTCCACATGGTTTAAAGTTACTTTCTGTCTGATATTTTTTTACTCGTTAAGCTAATTTATATAAAAAAGTACTTATTAGTAATACAAATTTTGCATTTACTTCTATGATAAGTCAATGCTTTTCATTTTAAAGCATATTTATTACCTCCCTTTATTTAGTCTATATAACGGTTCATGCAAGATCTTTAAATTTATATAAGTAAATATTTTTCCATTTCCACATGGTTTCAAGTAATACATTTTCTGACATATTTTTACTCGTTTAGCTCACTTATATTAAAAAGTATTTATAGGTAATGCAAACGTTGTATCTACTTCTATAATTAGTCAATGTTTTGAATTTTAATACTTATTTATTACCTCCCTTTATAGAATATTTACCCTATGTATTTTTGTAGCAATTTCATACTTCTTATATAGAAGGTAAAAGAATATCTCATTTCCAGCGCAACGTCGTATTTTTACGTTTCCCGCACTTTTATAACGTTACGTCATTGTTATATTTGTTATGTTTATATTATACGTTACTGTCTGAAGATATGTAGAAACATTTGAAAGCGCTAACAGAAATAAACGTATAAAAAATTAAAGAACTTTGTACTCTGCATTTCCCAAAACATACTTTTTTTATACATGAGATCCACACAAGGAATCGAACTTCTTTTTATATATATATATATATATATATATATATATATATATATATATATATATATATATATATATATATATATATATATATATATATTATATATATATATATATAACGGAGCAATGACAGAAATATGGTGGTGTCGGGTTTGGCTCTTTATGTCCAAAAATTTATCATTTCTCATTTAATTGAGAAAAAGAACAACAAGGAAAGGCGACGTTAATAAACACAGTCATTAGAGTTTTCTTTATCTAAAATTGTGATGTAAATATAATTACGTTTTTTAGCAACTTAAATTTTGTTCAATATAACATAATCATTCCATTTACATGTACAGACATTTAGCACTTTATTTTGTGTTGACATGTGTTACACACCATAAATAAAGGATTAATAAGTTGAAAGTAAAATGTTGCTTTATACATTTAGACTTATAAACTTTGATACATTCTCAATCGTTGTGTATTTTATAAATACTCGAGAATCTGACTCATTAGTTCCCTTTATTTTAATTATCGTAAAGTTCTCCTTGTTTAAAACAGAATAATTGCATTGAAAGAATTTTAAAGTATAGTGGATCAGTATTTACCTCTTTTAAGTCATCTTCGACAACTTCAATACCAGTTTCCAAGCCAAAATGGACATTAGACATACCAAACACAACAGAAGGTTTCCTAGACCTATGGGAATGCAATAAAGCAGTTTATAAAGCATTTGAGAGAAAAAATGACATAAACATTTCAAAATATTACTCTTCGTGGCAAAATGTAAATCTTAGGGATGTCTTGTAAATTCATTTCTATGTTGGCTTTAGTATTCAGAAAATGTTTTTGGAAGTTTTATATTTGAAAAATTTATTCTTTTATTTGTTAAACTAAACATACACTTAATGGTTTACATAATATAATTTATGTGATGTTTCATTATGAAATTAAGTTAGAAAAATATTAATTTCTAAGTAATTCAATTTTCGTTAACGTCTTAATTGCGCAAATATGTAACGCTTCTTACCGCGACGTCAGATATTTACATCAATGTTTATGAAAACACGTTTTATTGGCATTATGACTGTGAAACATGTTTAAATCCTTGTAATACGTGGTTCTTAATAAATTTACAAATGCGTAAACATAAACATGCGTAATTGATGCTGGACTTTTATTATATCATTTGATACTACATGTTAATGAGAAGCTGTGAATGACACTTACCTTACACTAAATCGAATACAAGTTTTTTTCTGTGACTTGTCTTTTAAATCTACAGATCGCCTCTTTCGTCTGCCAAAGTTACTCCGAATTTCAATATTCTTCTCCTCAAACGTTTCTAAAATGTCATTGTAATCCTCGGGTATCTTTGGGTCATTTTCACACCGACCACAAATATCACAGCCCCTAATAATTGTAAACAATGTAATTTAATGAATATACACCTAAGTATACTCCAGATCACTATGGTATTATTGCATCTAACAAATCGTTATGAAATAAAACGACGTAATAGTATCATTGAGCGCTTAAACATCACTGAACAGCTGTTTGCAATCTATCTATTTCATTGCATTGCATTAGCAGAGCAGAGGCTGTCAAAGTGTATGCATAAAACCGTACGTGATTTGATTGCTTATGACAAATCACCCGGATTAGAAATTTCATTTCTAAATTATTTCGTTATTAAATTTTTTTAAAAAGACATCAAATTTGCCATCGATTTTTTTCATCAGATTTCGTTAAATTTCATTGTTTTTAAATGTTATTGGCAGCACTATCAATTCTGATCTTTTTCAAAAAAACAGAAAGCATGTCATTTGGCAGACTAAGTAGGTTGATATCCCGCTTTTGAAATGCGTTTACTAACCAGTTGCCTCCAATATTTGCATCTATTTGACTATCATTTTGTTTTTCAACATCAACATCAGTTATTTCAAAAGGACAAAGCTCCCAATTTGTAGCATTTCGTTTCCTATTATATCGGAGATCAATATCCATCCGAGCTACTCCATTTCCACTTACAAGAAAGATCAATTTATTATCACCACGTTTAACTTTAATCTAGATTAAATAAAATAAAGTTAAAGTAGATAAAGAGCATGGATAGTCTATTTCAATATGTAACAGTCATTGTTATGAGCTTAAGTAAATATGGTCTAGATACCCAAAGATGTTAGAAGTTTATTTTACAATGAAAACATACACATTTTGAACATATAAAGGGACACAAATTGAAATAAATCGCTCAATGTTAAAACTAGCTGCTGATATGTGTAACAAAGTGATAGGATTATGAGTTTTCTCGAAACCAATGTGAAACACCATGATCAATTTAAAATTATTTAAATGTGATTCATAAACAATAAAAGTCCGAATTAAAAACAGATCAAGTATAAAATTAAAATGTTTGACATCTTCTTTCTCTTCGAGTTAAGGTAGATTCATAAATAGAAACGCTCACTTTTTTAAACTGCTTAATAATTGCGTTGTCTCTTGTTACATGTATTTCTCTCGGAAAACCTTTCTGAATACCATCCAGAAATCTAATCTTGAGGTCAACTTCAGACGAATACGTTGCTATATTGTATTGTGACAATGCTTGTAAACCAACTACCGTGTCCTATAAAACAGAATCAAAGTTTGAATTTGAATTCAGTACAGCCAACAATAACTGTCATAAATGTTACACAATGTAATAAAATTTATTTTCACAGCAAAACAATACCCTCTTTATCTTTAAAAGCTGATTATCAGAGCTTGGTAATTTTTCTGTTGTGCAAAAATATGTTCTTAACATTTAAAGCTATAATAAAAATTCAGGTTCAATTTGAATTGAAGCAGATAAATTATTTGATTTTTTTCCGAAAGCCTTTACAACAGTATGCATTTTTTTCAAGATAATTACCACGTCGAGATGTTTATACAAAGAAAAAGGGTTATAAATAATGTATATAGCCTTTAAGAGTTATTAAGTGTTCTGAATGAATACAACCTTGTAGATATCAAAATTAATTCTAAAATGCAAATATATAATTACTTGAGTCGTCCTAAATGCGCCTGCAGCATTTCTTTGAGTAGTAAGCCATCTGACAATACTTGAACTATTCTTGATATCATCAAAAGAAATCATTGCCAGCAGAGCATAGGCAGTTGTTTCCACGGCGTTTGCGCATGCGGGAGTGTTATCACCATCGCCCCAGTACATGCCATCTGTAATTTCAAACAAACCAAACTTTGTTTAATTTATAATGTCTTTGAATTAATTGATTTAATTGCTTTTTGGATCGTTTTACATGAATATTTTTTTCTACTTATTTCGCAGGGTTCTTTCTTGACATGAAATGAACGTAACATATAGAATATTTGTTGTACGCATTGATTGTAATGTGCACACAATTATGAATCAAGAAAATTCATATATGTGTAAACCAAGTCATGTTTAGAATGGCACATGTCTATCCGAATTTTCTACCCTTAATAAACATAAAGCTGTTTAACTGCATTTGTGCTTATGCTTCAGATGTTAATAATGTACTAATGTAATAATGTCTATCAATTCTATCAAATATCATTTTTTGTAATATATATTGTGTATGGCAAACAGTAATTTCAAACAATAAGTCTAAAAAAAATTAGTTGTGCAGTAAATTTTGCTAAATTGTTATAAATTTTCAAATTGAGATTTGATGTATCACTGATAAAGTTATTACCACTGTTATCCTTCTGAATATCATGTAGATATCCTTTTAGCTTGTATCTCTCGGGGCTTTTAGCTAAGGATAGTGCGTATGTACTTATAGCCAATAGATAGGGATCGCTTTTAAATGTTTCTTCTGATATTCCTTCCAGGTAATTTGTTGATTTCTGGATTGTTTCATGATAGTCCTTTAAATAAATTTTTGCCTTTACTTTGCATATACATGTATATATAAAACATAATTTTGATTCATACATTATCAACGATACAAAATTAGAATCCTTCATTAGTTACTCAATTTTGTGCTACCACTCTTCAAACATGTTTGCCAGTGACCGTTTATTGCACATAATGTATAATTATATAAAATTTAAATAAATGCTTTTCGCATAAAACATAAAACAACTATAACTATATTGAGCATATGTATTGAATATATGTTTATTCTATGTGTACATGTTCATAAACATAATTATACTGCATAAACTATTTAAAATAATAACCTATAATTTTGAAAGGTGTCACCTATTTCTTGCAAACAGACTATTACAAATAACTGCATAGAAGTTTCGACTCTTTAATTTACCGAATAATCAGATACACATGCGTATAAAATGAAACGGCAATTTTTAAAAAGTGTAATTTTGATCTATTATTAGCCAGTTGGTGTAATTTGGGACTTTGTTTGCCGGAAATAAATGTTTGGGTATGGAATATTAAATTCAGTTTTGTGGTTAGAGTGAATAATCATTGCGTTTTATAAAATTATGTAAGAAAAAAGAAAAACAAGATAGCCATGATGGCCCTGAGTTGCTCACCAGAAACAACTGCTTTTCAGTGAAAGATAAAAGACTACCAGAGAATGCTACAGACAAAATTTGGTGATCATCCATCAATTACTTATGTAGAAGCAGACGTTTAAAGGTATTTCTATTTTTAGCTTTAGTGACCCCTAAAAGAGGCCAATCAAATTAATATGCGCAAACTTGATAAAAGACTACCTAAGAATGCTACAGACAAAGTTTGGTGATTATCCATAAATATTTCAGTAGGAGATGATGTTCAAGTATGCACACACATCAATGCTATCGTTTTGAACGTTTCTTAACGATTGAATATATCTTTTTTAAGAATTGGGCGTCGTTTACAGTCTCAACACGGTACAAACAACAATGATGTGATATTGACAAAGGTTTAGGCCTCAAAATAATTTTTCCGGCAGCTTTTATTTAACAGAAAGAATTATTGATAGGAAATAAATAAACATAAACACTACCCAAAAAAAGTGAATGTATATTTAATTATTAAAAAGGCATAAATCATCAAGAATACGTACATCCGTTTGAATGTCACATTCTAATAACGAAACAAGAACAAATGCGGTCAGCGTCGAATCTGTTACATCCGTTTGACCCTTAAATAGATTGTTTATAACTTTATATATTTATATAACGACGGAGTGACATATTATTCTCCGTATATCACACACACACACACACACACACACACACACACACACACACGCACGCACGCACACGCACGCAAGCGCGCGTGTGCACACATCTATAATCATATTTGAAGAAATTCTATTTTCATATATATTTAAAAAACGAGCCTGTTAGACTAAAGGTCCTTTTAAAAGCAATTTAACCGTGATACAAAAAATAGTTAATACCCTTAAGAACTACATGTATAGCCATACCGATACGATATTTTAAGTTTATTTTAATACAGCTAAACTGAAATACATATTTCTTGTAAATGGTGCGGAAATAAATACAGTGTTAAATATATTTAAGTAAAATATGCATTATTACCAACATTTGCTGATTCAAAACTTTCGAAATATTGTCAAGGAACAATCCATTGTCCATTACTTGATTAACCAGCCAATCTATTGACGTTTTTATATCACTATCTTGGTTGACTGCGTCATAAACCACTTCTTTTGCTTGGCAGAACACCTTAGCAACAAACGCTGTTAACCTTTACATGCAAAACATTATAGATATTAAGACCGGCAAGGGCGATAGAGAGGTGAACTTTGATGAAATAAAATTAGATCAAGCCACAGGATATAAAAAGCAATCAGAAAACCTAAGAGGAATAATTTACAACAAAACAAAAACGTCGGAATGACATATGCAATTAGACTCATTAATTACCACTTGTCATCCAATTCAAGAACAAATTCCGTTTTTTCTCTGTTTAAGCTTTTTAACCGTTTTGAATAATTCTAAAGTTTTCAAATATAACCTGTGAGACAATAACTTCACAGACAGACAGCGTGATATTCCAAGTAAAAAAACAAGCAAATAAAATAAGCAGTATAAATTCCTGATTTATAAAATGCCTTAAATACAGCAAAGGGAATAAGAATGGTAGATCTTATGAGGTTTCTAACCAACTTGTATAGTCCAGGCATCAATCAAAACAGAATATTAAGTTACATTCATACAACAAACAGCAGCTAGATTCAAGCGATATTGAAATTGAGTGATTATTCATATTTTGAAGCATATCAAGTTTTTATCTATTTAGAAATGTGTAGGCAAGGTTGTAATTTTACAGTGTTTTTTAATATTTATAATAATAATACTGATGATGATTATTATTATTATTATTATTATTATTATTATTATTATTTCTATTATAATTGTTGTTGTTGTTGTTGTTGCTGTTGTTTTTGTGGTAACATAAACTTAAAATCAAAGTTGCTACAAGTGATGAAGTTCGACAAAATTTAACAAATAAACGAAAGAATTTTAGCGATTTCTTTTCTTGCTCAAATGAACGAGGTACTGCAAAATATATTCAAAAACAACAATACCCCGTGTGACACCTTTGGTTTAAACAAACAGAATGCAAATAGATTTTGAGAAAATGAAATATAGAAGGAAAAAAGAAGAAGAAAGGAAAGATCTTGTCTGTTGTTTTGCAAAAATGAAATAAAAATACAAAGCGTTTGCTTACTTTTATTAAATGCTGAACAGTCAAAAATATTTTATTATCATTTTCTAAAGACAACTCTTTGTTACCAACTAAAAGTAATGGACATTTAAAGTGTGAAATTGCCTTAATTCATTAAAAAGATCAATTATCTCATTTCGATATTTCGGACAAGTAAACAAAAAATGGTAAGCATCTTCTATCTCATAACCGCAGAAACAATTTTATAGAAATGATTTCCCTACATATTATCTTGTTTTTCAGAACTTTAAAATTCTGAAAAAGTAGGCCTTCTCTCTCTCTCTTAGCTGCAAAATATATAATATGCGAAATTTTTGTCCCGAGAAAGTATCTATTTTTTCCGCTGAATATTTTAAAATTTTTGGGAGGCTGAAATTATTGAAGACGTCACTCAGTGTTTCTCTTTGACTCGATTTCCCCTTCATCCCCTTCAACAAAGGTTATATGTGAATTACAGGGAGAAGTATTTCCGTCAGAGATTCACATAACCAAGGGTGTTCAAAATTATTTAAATGATATAAAAAGTTTTATTGCTATATGAATTGTAGGTTTAATTTAACAATTAGTGCAAAATCTGGCTTTAAGTAAATTACTTAAAATATCATCAAAACGAACTTTTCTGAACCCTTTGAATTCCAGAATTATCTGTATGAGGTTACATATGCCTACCCTCTCTCTCTCTCTCTCTCTCTCTCTCTCTCTCTCTCTCTCTCTCTCTCTCTCTCTCTCTCTCTCTCTCCCTCTCTCTCTCCCTCTCTCTCTCTTTCTCTCTCTCTCTCTCTCTCTCTCCCTCTCAACGTCTTAACGTCAAAAATAGGATCTTCGGAAATGGATAGAAACTGCCAATGAAGGAATCTTCCGAATGTAAATTTGTCGTGGCGTTTTGTAAGGTCTTTTTCGAAATTCATCGGAATTCTATTGCGCTTAAAAGTAAGTGCAGTATCTAATCCATGTCATGTGACTCGTTCTTGTTGCTTATTAATAATGAGTTTTTTTAGACGTTTTGTATCATGCATCGCAACTAAACTGTTACATCTTGTATCTCCTACTTTGTAAAAAAACATGAAACGACCCCAAGAACTGTACATTTTAGAATCATGACACGTGCTTTCTCCCGTTCATCTTCAAATGAAGAGTACTTCGAAAAATGTTACGAAAAATAAACAACAGAGACTTGCCGTAGATAAATCAAACTTTGCTTCAGTAAGGTAGACACGTTAAGAGACAAATCCAGAAAAATCTCGAGGGTGACCATTTTTTTTATTCAACCTCGTTTTGTTCATTTATACAAGGCAAAAGTTCATTTCAATTTTAAATAGGACACAACACAATAATTATAGGGTTGTTGGCAGTCAATGCCTATCTATTTGAAATCTAAGGCAACGTCCCCAAGAACAGTACATACGAACGATTTACCACGTTATGGATAATTGCACGCTACGACCCCCTAAAATTACCACTATATTATAAAACACATTCTAGGAGTCGTTTAAAACTGGACGCTGCCACTGCTACTAACACACCTAGTACATACCGTATAGGTTGTAAACTTAGCAACGAGGAAATATTTGCGAATATCGCGAATTGAAGAAAATCGCTAATTTTTGTCAAGCGTAAATATCAATCAAGCTGTCTTTAACGGTTCTGATCACGTGAAGTGAAATGTTTGTAATTTCAAATTCGCTATCTTTCCGACACACGGATATAACAATTGCACAGTAACTGAATATCTGTCCAAACTTTACGCGATCATCTGCGCAAGAATAGACCTATTCCAACGTCGAACATTAATTAACTGAAGCAAGGCATGATCCTGGAGTGCAACAACATTTCACTGGCATAAAACAACAAAACTGTCGATTCTTTGTACAAACAAGGCCAGGCTGTAATCCATGTTTAAGGTATCTATACTTGTATTAATGTGTGATTTTGGTCTACGATTCTTAACAATTTTAATCAACCATTTCGTCAGTCTTCCATGAACGAAGAACAAAAAAATTTGGAATATAAATAATCATTAATATTATAAATTATTTATTTTATTTCAAGTACAATAGTTCATCCTTTTAGTTCATATTTACCCATTTCTCCACCAAAACGTATCAAAAAAAAATTCTGTTCAGTATATAAGTGAGTATAGATATTCATGATATATTTTTCATTATCCAAAATTTAAGGTTTGAGTGAATAAATTGCAATAAATCCGTACAAAAAAAATATTAAAAAAATGCACTGACTAAAAGAAGGTGATAGAAAATTACTTTTCAATTGGTTGTCTGGGTGGAACGATGCCTTGAAAATTAAAAATGAATTCTTTGAAAATTTAAGTGTATTTTTGATGTTCTGATGGATTGAAATATAATGTGAATGTAGATTTTTGTGATGATCATTGTTAAATGTGTGTACAAACAGCGTTGTTTCGTCTACATGATTTATAAATGTCGGAAAAGTTGCTAAACAGGCTAATTTATAATATGTTTCTATCTTTGAATGAAGGTAAATATAAAATATTGGAATAAATTATCCAAAGCATTCTACAAAAATTATCATTGTATGGAAGGTAGGCGGCATTTTACACTTGCCACACATTAACACATCACTTATAAGCTGCTGTTGTAACAATCTACATTGTTTGAGTTAAATGGTTCGCAGATTGAAATTGATAAATCTGTTCATGAAATATAATCGAAAGAGAGAAGATTAAAGCAGTTATCAATCCTCGATACTACAATTATATAAATGACTTCGAAATATAAGATAGAAATCAATCCAATCATGTTTGACGTTTTTTTACAACGAGACACTTAGTGGTCAGTTATATTCTTAATCGTAGCTATTAAACGGTCTACAAAAGAAAGTTTAAAGGCTGCTTAACAAGCCAAAATAAAAAAGATATCACAGATTTGGTCTAATTGAGAACGTATATAGAAGGTAAGGGTTAGCGAAAACTACTGAATAAAACAAACATAAATCATTGATGTTTAAGATATAAAAAAACTCTTTAAATATCTGGCAACTGAATCACAGAGATATTTAGTCAATATGGAAATAGATATATTTATAAAATATCACAAAACATAATCTTACCATATGCTTGGAGGCTCATGTTGAAATACTGCATAAGAACCATTTTCTTGCCTATATTCCGCAATTTCATCACTTACACCTAACAACAGATGAAACTTGTCATGTTCTTCATCTACGATTTGTGAAGCATGCATGATATTGTGAAATGTGACATGGTCTATCATCAATATAACATCATCATAAAATAAAAAAATAATATCACTTAAAGTGCTATAATGCATAATTCAAAAAATTATGCCACATCACAAAATATCGTACTTTGAACCGGTTAGCACAGGAATAGCTAAACGAAATATGATGTTTTTCGGTAGATAGATTCCACATGGATCCAAAGGAATTTCAATTCAACGCCATCACAAAATCATAAAAGAATGATGTCTTGATTTCCTGGAACTATATTAAGATAATCAGTAGCCTACATGCTGTCTTATACCACCAATTATGAAATAGTGTTTACTTGCATAATTAGTTAATTTATACTTTTGTGCCGGTATATGTGCGGTTTAAGCTCTGTAAAGACGCAGTATTAATTCAGTGAGCAACGTCAAATATTCGTGCAAGTGTCACTAACAGCGTTTGCACTTGGATTTTAGTGCGCATCCGTAGATTTTTGCTGGCGTTGTAAGATGACTTGCTGAATTGTTATGATGTGAAACAGTACTGCAAGCCTCAGTATTGGATTCGTGATGGCAAAAAACACTCGCCACTCTTGTGTGTCAGGGGAATACGTGAAATCTTTCATTACGCAATTATATATGCTATAGAAATCTATAATTGTTTTTTTATCAACATACCTATATGCATGCAATATTGAATGAAAGGAGGGAATATCTTGCTGCAAAAATTTAATATGCAACGCAGTCTTAAAAGTGATTATCAGAGTACATACATGGTCCTACCTTTTCTTATCCAGTTAATTCCTGTTTCTAATAACACGTCTGTCATCTGTTTTGTGCGCTTTAAATAGTTCATAGCATAAACTGTTGGCGCCAGCGCAACCATTTTCTGTTCCCCACAGCCTTTCGGTTCTTTAAAAAGGGTATCGACACCTTCTATAATTGTCGTAACAATATTATCCATAACCTCAGCTTAAAAGAATCATACCGATATTTTTACTATCTTAAATTTTGATCACATTCGCAACAAAGCGATTTGATGCAAAAACAAAATGCTAAAGAATGATTAGCAATAATTTAAATAAAGATGTCATAAATAATAATATAACGTTGTCCTAGTATAATGTATATTCTATACAAAGTAAATGATAAACTATTAAATATACTTATTTCTAATACCTTAATATTATATTAAATAATATTAAACATTTATTTATTGCATAAAATTCTAGGAAACATATTTATAACATATTTTACAGCCTTTTTATGTTCTTACAGCTTTTCGACTTTATGACAGCATCTGACTTCCATTTCATATCATGTACAGAAATATATGGATATAAAATATGGATTATAATTTACAATTCTTGATTAATTAGGAATAAAACAATGATTTGTTACGATGATATGCATTCAAATATTAAAATTACGTTGAATATATATAATAAAGAAACATTACCATAGATATGCACATCGGCTTGTTCTGTTCCGAAAATGCTTTCCATCGGAATTGTAAGATTAATCGTGAATTGTTGTTTGCCTTCTTTAACTAAATTAAAGATAGACAAATTTTATTCATACAAAGGCAGTATGCCCATAAGTATACAGTAATAATAAAATCAGCAGTTATATAACATCAATGGCATGATAAAAGCATGGTACACATGAAATAGGTCTATTAAAAGGTCAATTCTTATTCTTATTCATCATATCATATCAAGTATATAATATATGATGCCTATATATGATAACATAAACGACATAATATAAGCATGATATACAAAAAATTAGTCTATTACAAAGTCGATTCTTATCCATCATATCATATCAAGTATATAATATATGATGCCTATATATGATAACATAAATGACATAATATAAGCATGATATACAAAAAAATAGTCTATTACAAAGTCGATTCTTATTCATCATATCATATCAAGTATATAATATATGATGCCTATATATGATAACATTAATGACATAATATAAGCATGATATACAAAAAAATTAGTCTATTACAAAGTCGATTCTTATTCATCATAACTTATCTAATATATAATATATATGATACAGTGAGAGGACAAGATTATCGTTGATACAATGCACTTTTTTAATCAAATCTTTCGCACACAAATATTGCTACATTTTTAACTATCCATATATTTTCAGATTTACATATTTCTCTAAATTTATTACATTAATTTTCTTCCAAAATATTTTTCATATGCATTTGTCTCATATCTTGGTATAGGGGACATTCAAATAAAAATGAAATTCATCATCCAGGGTATTACAATACTCTGATGACACTCTCAGTCTTGTAAATGCTTTTCTAAATTTAGTAATTTTAACAATGTATAAATATGGCTGTATATATTGGTTTGATAAGATACATGTATACTCATTGTAATGCTGAATGAATTTACACATTTCATAAATGGTAATGATACAACTAATTTTACAGTCAAGAAATTATGTTACAAGCCTATTTGCTCAGATGATACAGAAATTGCGAAAGTCTTACGGCAAAACCCCGAAGATAAGTTATCTTCATTTCAATGAAATCTTTCACATATATGTCAAATAATGCGTATGGTTAATGATATATACTTACTTTCATCTTTTACCGATTCGTGATTTTTGCAGTCATTCTTTCTATGTTTTGGATCCAAACAAACATGAATTGATTCGACTTCTTGAATGCCCTCATTCTGTATGTTGAAGTATTTGTGCATCATTTAATAAAAATATGCTTAATCATTATTTTTGATAGGTGTGAAAATATTTTATTTACATTTTCATGAAAAAAGCCCTAAATAAAACAAATCAAATTGATTGGTAAAACGCATTTATTGCTGACATAGTGATAATCTCCAACATAAATACCATTATATATACTACATTTCGTCAATACTATGGCCTACAAAATAACCCGGGTTGGTTTTCTTAAATGCAAAGTTTAATCTACATTTTTTATTGTGTATGAATATGTATACACATTTTGCCAAAATGCATTATTCCTACTTATTTACCCGATAATAAAGAGAGGCCACTTAACTTAATATTGTTGCACTTGATAGAGGTGATTTGCGTTCAAACATATTTTGTTTAGGCGTTTCTAATTGTAAGATTATGGAACGTATTAAAACAGAAACAAGCACTGAAAATTGTAAACAAATTGTATCTGTTGATGAGATGTAATGCAACCAGCAGCATCAATTATCACCACTTAGCTCCGGCTTTACCATTATTCTTTGTTGCAACAAGGATAAAAATAACCGATTCTAAAAGACCAGAAAAGTATTATAACAATAAGACGTTTTAGCTACCATTCAATGTTGTAAAATATGTTTGTGAGTGAAGACAATAATGAATATGCATCCTGTTTGACCGCACCTTATACAAGAGTTATTTTTGGTTTTGTATTATATGTTTTATAAAAACCAGGGTGTGAGATTCATCTTTGACAAATATGGTTCAAGCATTGAGTTCTTAACAGGACGTTAAAAGTCATCAATCCGTCTTTATAGTTCATCCAGTGTATCAAACATCTCTGTGCATTTTTTTATCATCAATCTGTTTAACCTTCGAAACGCATCATTGTTTTATTCTATTCTTTATAAAACAATATAGTTTAGACAGTTCTTAATGTTGAGCAATATTACAAAGAAAAACAGATATGCAATCTTTCAATGTTCTTGTTTGTTTGCTTTGGGTTTTATGTTACATCTACACAGTATAGGTCATATCGCGACGTTCAAGCTTTACTGGTGGAGATAGACCTCAGGTACCCATCCGTGCATTATTTCAGGCACGAACGAGCACCTGAGTAGAACCACCGATGTTCCGTAAGCTAGCTGGATAGCTTCCTCACATGAAAGAATCCAAAGTCCCTATCGGGATTCTAACCCACAGCGGTGAGGGGCAAGTGATTTGAAGTCAACGACCTTAACCACTCGGCCACGGACGCCCCTATCTTTCCATGTAAAAAATAAAGTTAACTTATGTAATATTTCAATGTTAGTATAAAAATAATTTTAAATTATGAATAACGAAGTGAGCTAACACCACCACAAATTCAAAAACTTTTTAAATGGAGTAATCTTACCACAACGTATAAGTTCTTTCTGATCTTATCTACCATTGACGAGGTTTTATCTGCAACAATGGCCGTAACATTTATATGATATTTCCCTTGTCGCAATGGTATCATTGGGAAATTGACAGTTTTGGCACTATTAGGTTCCAATGTAATCTGCCTACTAGGGGATCCCATGCTGGGCATACTGTTGAGGCACACATTGTTAATACCTTCTATGTAGATTTTAGCCTGCAGTCAGATTTAAATCACAATCGTTTGTAATCAAATAATGATTTTATTATTGACGACATATAAAGAGCTTAGCGGGTTAAACATTTTTCATGTCAATGAATTTTATTTAGTTTCATTTGAAAGGCACGTATAAACTATTCCTCTAAGCTCATTTGCAATTATCTCTCTATCTCTCTCATACTGTTAAGTAATAAGTACATGTACTCATGTTTAGTAGTGTCGGCCGATGGTATTCATATTTATATATCAAATATATTATATAATAGATTGAATTACATAGCAAATAAAAGCCAAACTTTTATATTTTCAAATGTTCAGAAAGTGAAACAATCCGGGCAGTATATTACAGAATATACATAAATTTCCATATTTGTCCTGAAGGCTCAAAGGCAGGTCAAGGTCAAATTTATATTACTTTACATAAAGGTTTTATCCAAAGGGTTGTAATGAACAAATATTAGTCAATATTTATTCATAACAAAGATTTGACCAATTTATGATAAAAAGTCAATAACTTGACTTTAAAAGCCAAAGTCATTTTAAATTTGCCCTACTTTACTGTTTCATATATAGCGTAAATAAGTATAAAATCAAAATATGATAGACAATATCAACAAGGAAGGGCGATGTTCAATGAACGCAACCCTCACACCATCAATAATACGATTTTGACCGATATATGCACAATTGTAAAACTCGGCCTTACAGTCAAGGTTATTTAAAGGTAAAGGTCATACTTGACATGGTAAACATGACAGTAGTATGGTAAGTTCTGGTTTGTTTTTGTATAAATCAATTATGTTCATTGAAATAAACGTAAATTAAGATTTGGCCAGCTTTAGAAGAAATCAATAACTGTATCACAATGGTCAATGTCACTTAAACCAGTTAAAGCGCAAGTTCATTCTGGTAGGCTTAAAGGAATCTGCTAAAAAATTAATACAAAACATCCAATAATTATTAAATTTTGACCGAATTCATCAAAATTCACTTATATGACATTGAATTTCCAGGCTATTTCAAGGGTATGGCTGCTCAACATGACAATTTAAACACCTATAAATAGCACAGTTATGACAAATTTTAGCAAACTTCGGAAAGTAGGTAATCTGCTTGCAGGTAATGTAATAATAGTTGTTATGTCAAATTCAAAATACAATGAACTCATCTAAGTTATAACCAAATTCAAAAGAATTTGAGGAATAAATTTGAAAGTCCTTGAATGAGTCAAAGTAAGATCTCTTCAAAGACATGCAAGAAGACACAATGGCAATTATTCCTGTTGGGCGTTGTAAACATCTCGAGCGGTTTTAGAGAAGAAACGTACACAAACGCACGGACACAAAACGGCCGAAATGAAAGAAAGCCCCTATCAACTTTCATTGCATATAATTATTTTCGTTAAACACCACCTGATAAGAATTTCTCTCGGTTTCTATTGCATTAAATGTGTATAAGTTTGGTTAGGTATTATCAAAATCAAAAGTAATGATACCATACTGTATTGTTTTATGGGACACTAGCTTAATAATAATTATGATACTTACAATTGCTTACATAAATCAACTATGCACGATCGCCTTATATTGATAATAGGTTTTAAAACTCTCATGCACTTGTGTCGATTGAATTTAAACATACAGCAGTTGTATATATTCTTTACGAACATAAGACTACACTTCAAAAACATACAAACCTTTATTTTACGAGGTTCGTAATTGAAAATAGTAGCTTTAACATCAAAGTTTTCTAGACGAACTGCGCTGTATGGAATGTCCAGTTGAATAAAAAAACTTCTATACGCTTCTACGTCAATGGGATCTGCAATACATATTCCTTTGTGTGGCGTGATACCTGAAAATGAAACGATATTTATTAAAATGTTAACATAGTTGAACACCATTATAATCTTAACAGTGCTGCATATTTTATCTAAAAAAATGATGTTTCAAGAAAGTGACATTATGTTCAAGCCAATCAAATTTTACTTAATTCTGGCTTTACAAACTGTCGTCATTGACAAATATTTATTTATTCGGGAAAGTCTACAAGAAGTGCACATTTTCTCCACTGTAAATGTCTTATTATTACGGAAAATGTATCATTGATTAAAACAAATATCTTTGATGTTACACTTTGTTTCTTTCAACTTAACTCAGCTTGTAAGCAATCTAAAGTCTTTCTATATAAAACTACTGCCAAAGGTTTGTCTCACTAGACCAAAAGCATTGTAAACCCTTCAAGTATCCATTATACCAAGTTCTTTGAAAACCGACTAAGAAAAAATAATAATATTTTAATCACTTTATTTGATTGTGATAACGAATGACATTTTCATAAAACATGCACAGGACACCTTTGAGTATGTCCTTTTAGGTCTTGCGTTGCTTCATTAAACAATACATTTAGATAACATTCTGATTATGCATTTTTTGATATTTTACTTTTTCGTTTCGTCAAGTTCAAAGTCTGAGCCATAAATTACTGCCCGTCACATGTGCAATAAACACACATATAAAAATATAAATGATGATTTGGCTAAAATTGTACCCAATACGTCATCATATATGAAAACATTGGGCGTGAAAAACTTTATTTAATATATTTTTCAAGAAGAAATATTTAGGGGATATGAATGTAACGTGGACAAATAGCATACTGTAACTAAACTTTCAAGCAGCTAATTGGACATTGGTTGAAAAATAAATAGAAAGTTACAATTATCATATGAACAAGAATTTGTAAAAGAGTTACGAACGTCCCTCGCCTCGGGGAAGTTTGTATATGAAGCATAAAATTGTGATATTTCAAAAGATTGAGGTATGGATCTCAGGACTTTCGGTCCAATATTATGAGCTAATTCTGCAAATGCAACAATCAATTTATTAAAGAAATAAAACGAAACACGGAATTTAAAAATCTATCATGTTAAGCTTTGACCTCTGTCAAGTGTGGCCTTGACCTTGGAGTAAGGGGTGCAGGTGTTGTGCATGACATATCGTCTTATTATTGTAACTATTTGTGCTAAATATTTTCAAAATCCCTTGAACTATGAAGAGTCCTAGATCGGACACAGAATATACCCTATAACAGACTATCGTAATTTTTGAACTCTAAGTGTGATCTTGGAGGTAGGGATTCATGTTTTGCACCTGACATATCGTCTTATTATTGTGATTATTTGTGCAAAGTAGTTTATAAATCCCTTGATCTATAAAAAAAGTTATGGACAGGACACAAATTATACCCTATAACAGTAAGTCTTTGACCTCTACGTGTGACCTTAACCTTGGAGGTAGGGACACATGTACAACACATGACATACCACCTTATCATTGTGAAAGCTATAGGGATTGAAAGATGTTGCACGTATTCATAATTCCCTATGTACAGACTCTTTAAACGAGTCTGCAATTCCCTTGTTATTTTTTGAGATAAATTCTTCCGAGGACTCACTTTGTTTCAAGATTTTTATATATCACAACAGCAGGTGTCAAGTGCTGTGTGGCAGCTGAAAAAAAATTGCCCCGTAGTTCACTTAAGTGTTATTATATTTTTCTGGTCCTTCGGGATCATTAATGTCAGCACTATTAAGTGTTGAGAATTGAGTACCGCTCAAACCGGTCCTAGGGGTGGAGGGATGTTGCACGTATTCATTATCCCTCATGTACAGACTCTTGCAATTCTCTTGGAATTTTGTTGTGGTTAATGCTTCCGAGGGATCACTTTGTTTCTAGATTTTTTAGCTAATAAATTTTATTTCCACATTTTTCACAACAAAAATCTAAATATGTCTAGTTCGTGATCGCAAGGAGGTTTCTTAAACATTCAACTTTTCCATGTCTTTTAATGGAAATCTTGGTGTCAAAGCTATAACCCATCTTTTGTGGATTTGTAAAAAGCTTTCTTTGATAATTATATATATTTTACTTTAACTCACTGGGAAATGTTTATGAACTTTATACTCATTTCTATCAGAAACACTATAATATCATATCAAATGTCTCTGATTTCTATGTAGGGCGATGCTCAGCTTGCACATGCGCGAGAAAAATACTAAATCCGGTCGATCAGACCGCGTCGTAAATTGGTCTATATAAAACTTACTGAAATATTTCATAAAAGAAAATTGCAATTATCATTAAAGATCCTGTAACACAATTTTTTATGGTTATAGATCATGATGCTCAGATGAACAATTATTTATATTGTAAGTTCCAAAAAGCATTACAGTCTAACTTGCCCATGCGACCACGTGTATTAAGCGACTTTTGTCTTAAACGACCACTTTAAATCCCCCCCCCCGATCATTTTCTCTCTATATCTTTAATGTATTAAGCGACTTTTGCTCAACGCGACCAGCGACCGCTAATTAGTCACTTAATTGACATCAATCTTTTCATTAAACGACCACTTTTACCTGTCAAGTAATTGTGTTTTTAGAGAACGCCACCTCGTTATGTCACAAGTGTCAACAATCAAAACACAACAATAAACGTGTGAAAAACTCTGTTTCCCATACCGTTTTAGCGTATGCAAATGAAGTTAAGTATACGCGTGACGTGTATTATGCAATAATATTTGATAAACAATGCAACGTTCCGCCCATACTGAGATGGTGTATACGCTTCGCTTGTTGACATTTAGACTGCATTGAATTGACCTTGAACTTGATTAGCCATTAAATTAATCGTAACAAATAGATGTAGTTTGTTTATTTCAAATGAAAAAATGCACAACAGAAAACATCTTCACTAATAGGGTTTTCGTGTTGGAGACAAGGAAAAACAACGGAGAAGTTAAAAAATTCTGGAAAAAATGTCAAACATGTACGTAATGGATCAAGACTGTTTTGTCAATAAATATCAGAAATTTATTTTTTACTTTGCATCCATTTAGATTATCGGAGCGTACTTATTATTCAACAGTTATATAAAAACAAAGTTGAAAAACATTCCCACGGCATAAGAAAGATGTCATTTATAAATTTTGACTTTTATATCATGCTGACTGTCTTAAAAGACCGTTTCATTAAGCGACCGTTTTGGGTGTTTCCCTTGCCCGGTCGCTTAATACACGTTTGTCTGTGTTTGTAAAGATATTACCGAATTTACTCTTTAATGTGAATAAAAGGAGGTAATTAGTAATTTATTTTCTATAAAGTCTAAGTCAATATATATATATATAAGATATACGTAATGGTTGTTTCAAAGAATATATTGGAGAAACTTCAAATTTAAGAAATCGAGTAACATTGCACAACCAACATATACAAAATCCAGACAATGCATTATTACCAGTCAGTCGACATATTGCCATTTGCGCAAGAGACATCACTCCAAAGTTTAATATAATGCCAATCTATAATATGTGAGAACCATACACATTCAAAAGAAGAATGAAAGAAACTGGATTAATAAACGTTTTAAAACCAGAATTGAATTCAAAATAACTTTCATATATATATAACAACAATATTAAAACTTATAATTATGTCCCTTTAAAACGTTATAAGAGAAACGTCCTTTTACACTGTTTTGACGTCGTTACCAAGCGACGTGATTAACGTCATTATCTTGAAGATTCCTTTAACTGGTGAAACTGGTTGATATTTCTCTTCAATTAATATTACAGTTTTGTTAATAAACAATTCAATTGTAAACTAGAAAAGGCATCGCTTCATTCTTTTTTCCCACTGTTTTTATCCGTATTGTTTTAAACTGTACATTTTGGATATATATATATATATATATACGAGTATATAAATAGCAAATTTCTTTAAGTGTGGTAACAACCTTAATTACAACGATTATTGTTTAAGTATACGAGAAGGCGTTTCCTGTAATTCTGTGAGGTCAGCTGTGGCTTGTTCTATTTCTTAAAAAAACTTATATATCATTTCTACGATCATTGAAAACACTTTTATTTCTGAAAATTGAAACAAAAGCTTTGAACACCATCAAGTTATAACCATATATACAATGCAGTTCTTACCTCGTTATTTTTAGTGATAAGATTGAAGATAATAGCTGTCCCATTAAACAGTTAATGTACTTTATTATAAGAGCGCTGACAATATTATTTAAGGACATTTTGACACATGTATTAAGAAAATATAAATACAATTATTGTTCATTATGAATTTCAGTTCATTGTCTATTATCTAATAAACATAAAGCATATGTTAATAATGATTTAACATGGGTGTAACGTCAAATGAAAATGAAATTAAATGTTACAAATAGACACCTAGTGGTTGGGATTATGAATTAAATGTTAACAATGCTTGTGTGCATATTTAAGCATTAACCTGCAAATTGTATTAAACACACTTGTGCAGATTTCAATTCTATATCTGTCCATTATTTATCTATTTTTGGGATATGAAAAAGTCAGTAAGTTTAAGACATAGAGTCTTGTCAGACTAATAATATCTATTTTATGTGGCGATTTAGATCGGAATATTCGTCCCAAGGGGACTTCGCTCATATTGCGGTAACAGGCTTGCCGAGTTACCGCCAATGAGAGGGTTCCAGAGGGACGGATATTCTGATCCGAAACGTTAACATATGTGAAATATTTTTTCTTGCGTATTCTTCCATATTTTTCATGTTTAAAATCGTTTATCTCAATAAGATATTTGTTCATGAAAATTAAAGTCATTTCAGCCATAACTATTTTCTTACCATAGCGTGTGAATTTTCAACTTTTATAACAACGGCGAAATGACATAATCCTAAGCATATAGTTCCATTCTAGAATGACGTAATTTTAACGAGGCTCATTCATGAAATGCGCTAAAATGACGTTGTTGTAGGACACAAGACTCATCTGGTACCTCCAATGCCAGATGAAATTTCCGGCATAGATAAAACTCACGGAAACGCCAGTCTAGTATGCAAGAATTCATCGTCTTGCTTGGCTCTTCACTGATGGTAATTGCTCATCATCTAGCAGGGTAAGAGTAAATGTTTGTTACATCTTTTATGCGCCCGAATCCGTCAAGCTGTGGTGCTTTTTAACATTTCATGTCGTCTCTTTGTTTTTATCTTTGTACTCAAGTCTTCATAAAATACATGTGACGTGAGTATTTGATACGATTCCCTTGTTTAGAAATCCTCATGCATGGTTTCTCATTTGTTTCTTTGTTTTGTGCATTTAAACTGAACGACAGCAATTGTCATTGAAATACAATTGTTAGAACCCGTTGAAATAGAATAATTATTTTTGCTGTCGCTTGAAAAAGAACACTCGAGCGAAAGTGAAGACATTCTTTTAAAATAATCAATGTTGCGAATTACTTTTGACTGGATCGGTATGTAAAAATTGTTTTTGCCATATGAAATCGTGTAAACAAACTTAAATTTTGATATAAAGGATATTGAATGAGTGTAAGTTCAATACTGAACTTATTGAACGAGTTGAATAAAATTATATCGTGCGAGCCTCTGATGAGTTCAATACCAAATCTAAAGACCGTTAAAAGAGAAAAAGAATAATTTTTCATTGACGCGCCTATAATGTAACGCTAACATTTAACGCGTCTTGACAAGGTTTGTATCACGCAAATGACGTCACGTCAAAATATATCCCCACTGCCGTGCAATACAATTTTTACGGAGTCGCAAAAGCGACCCGGGTATGTGATAAAACAATGTAAGGTTGTTCCTGTTGATAAGTAAGTGCCGATTTAAAAATGTTTGATGTATAAAAAATACGGATACAGCGCATCACAAACATATAATTCAACCATGATACAATTAAATTATTATATTTTTTCTTTCTGATACGTTTAATGTTTTGTATCTAAATGATATTAAAATGATACCAGCTCTGATAGTAAAGCTAAACAAAAACAACAATGAGGACACCATATTAAACATCATTGTCTTTGGAATGGAATATAAAATTTTCTGAAACGTAATAACTTTACCAATTGCTTCAATCCTCCACTCTGTAATTGAATCCGGGTACTTCTTAGGCGATATTTCCCTTTCTCCTGCTCTAAAATTAAAAACTGTTATTTAAGTAACTGTGTTAAACAAGGATATTGTTGACTACAATGGTTCACATACTAGTTACATAAATGTAAACACATAAGAATTCATTTATTGTGTAGATGTGGTGTAGAATGAGGAAGAAGCTATTAAGTCGTGATTGTTCCAATTAAAATGTGTTTTAAGGATGGAAAGTAAAATTATTCCATTTAATGTGTTCCCATAATGATTTTTTAATAATTTCTTTTTTTTTTTGAATAGACGAACGATCATAGAATTTTATGTTACTCTAAACCAAACCGAATTAAAGCGAGGAAATAAAAAATAACATTTGAGTTTTTTCTAATGGATGGCAAACGAAATTGCACCAACGACACAGCATTAAAGCAATATATCTAATGATAAATCTTTGCATAATTCATTTTAACAATAAAGAAATGACCTTACGTGCCAAGGTTTTCAACTATGAAAAGCCAGGACTCCCGAAAATCAGATCTCAACACTGGATAAATGTAATTTTTTGATAAACTCTTAATGTCCGTTGAATACTCGTTTTCGTCGTCTAATGATTTAGAAAGTATGTCCGTATTTTTTCCTGAAAAAATTCAGAACAATAAACCTGCATACAAGTAAAACTAAAAAGTGTAAAAAACATGTTCTTACATGTATGTACAGCAATGAATAGTTATAACTTAGAATTAGGTAAAAATATACATATATGTTACCTGACATAAAGAAATGAAGTGTCTCAGTGCACGTCTTAAGATATGCCAAAATGCATCTTACAGGAAGAGTTTTTGTTTCTGCCATTTTCCTTGCTTTTGCATAACAACGAACGTTAGGTTCTGTCATATCATTTTCGTCAAGCAATACTTCGGCATAAGAGTATCCTTTATTACAACATTCTTCATCGGCTCCAAAATAACACCCTGTTGGTAAAAATTCGAATCAAAATGTACTTCACGATATTTTTTCTGTTTAACATTAAAGCGGCCTTCAGCTTTTATTTATGCTGAACAAACAATTTCGTATTTTTCAAACGAGGTATATCAGTAAAAGTATATCAGTAATTCTATCTTCGAACAAGTGCATCATATCACTGTTAAACCTTCTTAAAAACAGCATCCCGAGAGATATCTATAGCGCGCCAGTAACGTTCGTTTCTAAAAAAAAAGATCGGGGAAACAAATCGTCCGTTTTAATTTTTACATACAGAGCCGGTAGATTAGAGTGTAGTATCGAATTATTTTACTGTTTATGTAATTTATTTATGGCAAATTTTGTCTTCTCCATAAATTATTTTGATTTGACAATAAGACAAAACGATTAACCTTAAAGCAACATAGTTTACCTTTTAAAAATCTGAAGGCCACAGAACATATTTTGCTTCTTTTTGATGTTAATCTTTCAAAAAAAAATTATTTTAGTTTTCATCTAGATTTTAATCCGTGTAATAGTAACACGTGTGATGATATATATAAAAATTAAACGTTCAAGGAACATAGCACATTAAAGACGAGGGCAGGGAAATATAGCACAGGACAAGTGAAATAGTAAATCATTTAGATTGTACGCAAAACCTTTGTGATGGAATCGATGTATCTTACTTGACTTCCGTAGAGAAGTCATATACAAGGATCGGAAGCTATGGTGAATCTGAAATCATGTCGCGTGGGCATCACAGATCGGAAAATTTGTAGGAGAGAAATGATGAGACATCCAAATTCTGATAAATATCGTATTTTTATTGATAATTTTGATAATTGCATTTTATAAACTAAGTAAGGGTTATGACAGGATCAATTGCCGTGAAACTTTGCATTGTGATTTTGTTAATCAGCAATAAATTCAAGATGGCGGGACGCGCGGATGGCATAAAAAGTAGATTTTCTCACAATTATATGACGTAAAGCAGTATTTTAAAAAAGTATACGCATTATAATTTATTAATGTAGTATTGATTTTTGCAACTATAGTATCAATATATTCAAATATGTTAGTAGAACGCTACAACGTTAACTTAACTGTACCCTCTTTTTTAAATTGCACAAATTATTTTAAATACTCACTAAGTTCTAACCTCAATTTACTTCAAGCATAAAATTACCGAGATTAAAATAATAATAATAATTGCTTGTATATGGCTTTGTGGTAACATCGCAAACAAAAATGCAATTTAAGTTTGAAATTTGTCTATGTTGCTCTAACTATTTCCAAATGATTTATAAACTTTCTGTTCTTAATATTAGTATCAGAGTATTTTACTTATTAGTCTATTTGATACATTTTCAAATAATTCAAGACAAGCGATAATATATAGATGAAGTCATGACAAGGATTAAACGTTTATTGCCATATAAAACAGTTTTTATTTCTTTATACTTTTAACTTTGAAACAATTTTTTTCCATATTTATTCTTCAAAATTCACGTCACATGGTTTTTTGTTATGAAAGGATTCAATGCAAAGTTGTTGTAAATGTTCATAAATAAATGTTAATAGTGATAATAGATTTACATTGTATTTACATATATCCTCTTAAGGATATTTCCCTTTTTACACTACATCTTAAAAAATCTGGAGACAAAGTGATCCCTCAGAAGCAATAATCACAACAAATTTACAAGAGAATTGCAAAGGCACAGATGTATATAAACATGTGTGATTATTCTAGAAATTGTAATTAAATGATAGGATTGTTAGTTTGAAAATTAAGTGTTGCAATAATCAATTGATACATGGTTAATGAAAGTTTGAAAATAAACTGTTTCAATTACCACTTGTGTACCTGGTAATTTACACCCCTTCATTAGTAATTAAACTTCAAAGAGGTTAAAGCGATATCTAAGCAATCTAAGTATCTAAGGTATTTTCATTTCGCAAAATACTGGCGCGAACTGTAAAGACTATTTATATTTAAAAACCTGCCAGAATTACCTTTTAAACTTATGAAAATCCATTCGCATTGAACATAAAATAGAGGATATTTGTTTAGTTCAGTGTAAGATCGGAATATATTTCACCGAGTGAGCACCAAAAGGTATTTTTCACGAGTGGCGCAGCCACGAGTGAAATATGAACTTTTGGTGTTCACAAGGTGAAATATATTTCGATCTTACACTAAACTAAACAAATTTTCTTTTTATTATATGCAAAGAAACGTTTTAAAAAGACATTAAACCTAAAACTGAATGAAAAGCGCGCCAAATAATAATACAACGTGACGTCAATTACGACGTCACGTCATTAAGTTGGTACCCAGTTCTGTGCACGCTGGTATTTCACGGAAACAACGTAAGGGGCTTAAATTCAAAACAGTGAAATTACCAGTTTTATATCACTGATATATTTCTATAAACCACCGAGAAGCATGTAATAAAACTACTTAATCATTGAAATAGACAAGTGACATTTTAAAGGCCGGATTGAGACAACCATACGAATTTTACCACGACGATGATTATTTATTTCACTAACCCGGCATGAAAAGTTTTAGCTTCACGCCTATATCAAGCATCATATTTTGCGTTTGAATAAACAAACTGTCCATGTTTTAGTCTCACAAAATAATTCCTTTGAAAGTAAATATGCTGATATTATATAAAACGTGTTACGAACTAAACACAACAGGGATGATACCACAGCAACATATTTTCAATACTTAATAAAGGAAAGACAGTTATTTACAGAAATACAAAACTTACTAAATTAAAGTTTTTAACAAATGTTCTTGAATTTTAACTCACAGTCCTAAATTTTATTGTTCAACACTCAAATTTAACAGAAGTCTAATGTCCACAACAGAATATCACAACATATCCATATTAGAATCTTACACCGGCTGCCGGTACAGACCGGAATATCTAGCTCGAGGGTGACTGTTTACGGCGGTAACGAGGCTCTGCCGAGTTTTCGCTAAACAGTTACCCGAGAGCAAAATATTCCCGTCAGTACCAAAAACCGGTGTTCGATTCTTTTTCTTGCACATTGCATATCAATTATTTACAGAACAGAAATTACGAAAACTGATATTCTCATTACGCACTTTTTTCTTATATAGCGTATGAACGTACAACTTCATTCACGACGGTTAAGTGACGTCATCCTAAGAACGCAATTCATTCATAAAAGGCGCGCAGCGCAAGAAAAACACTACTCACACAGAATTACAAAATCTAAGGTTAGGGTTAACGATCCCGAGATTATCAGTCCTGAGCTCTACCTACTGAGCTATTCAGGATATCGATACTAAACACATTTACGAGGGGAAGTCAGAAAATATCCGGACTTTTGACTCGTTCTCGAAAATAATTCAACATTTTTTAAAAAATCTTTCTATTCTTTTCCAAAATATTCTCCACCTACGTCTACGCACTTTTGCCATCTTTGTTGGAGCTTTTTTATTCCCACTGTGAACCATGACGTAGACCTATGTTTTAGGTACTGTGTAACAGCAGATATCAAAGCCACCCTTGTCTTATATTTCTTTCCAGCAAGCATTTTTTTTCAGTTCTGGAAACAAATAAAAGTCACAGGGGGCGAGGTCTGAGCTATGAGAGAGTGAGACAACAATTGCCATTTGTAAGAGTTGATAACCTACACTGTAGTTGGGGCGGTATGGGAAGGGGCGTTATCGTGAAGAAGGAGAACATTTTTCTGTGCTAACCTGGGACCCATTTGCTTCAGCTTTTCTCTGAGATTTTTCTGAATTTCTTCAGAATAGTACTTGGCGGTGACAGTTTGACCTTTTGGCATGAAATGAGTAAGTATCATTCCTCGTGAATCCCAAAAGGCAACAAGCATGACTTTGCCAGCCGAAGGAGACAGCTTAAACTTTTTAGGAGGTGGGGAACCAGCTCGTTTCCACTGCTTTGACTGAGCTTTGTCTCAGGTTCGCTATAATGAACCCCTATCTCATCTCCAGTGATAATGCGGTTCAAAAACTTATCTCCTTCACGATTAAAACGACTTAAGTGTTCTTTTGCATTGGTTACTCTGGTTGCCTTTTGATCTGCGGACAGCTGTCTAGACACCCACCTGGCACTTACCTTGCTCATGCCTAGGTGTTCGTGTAAAATCTTGTGTGCCGGTGCCTTACCGATGCTAAATTTGTTGGCTACCTCCTCCAAAGTTACTCGATGATTTTTGTTGACAAAAGCTTTAACATTTGCTACCATTGTTGGGGTCACCGCCTCAGCTGGCCGCCCAGTCCTAGGCCTGTCACAAACATTTGTTCTGCCTTCACGAAACTGAGAAACCCAGTTGTAGAAGGTTGAACGTGATACACATTTATCAGAAAATCTTTTTTTAAGCCTCTGAAAGATGTGGCAGGGCTTTTCACCGTCTGCAATCAGAAACTTTATTACAGAGCGTTGTTCCGCTAACAAAAGGTCCATGATAGACGAAACACCTATCATATATCAGAGGGCAAAATACTGTATATACACAACTATCATTGAAAATAAACTGACCACGTTATTGGCGAATGAATGTAGTTTTCACCAATATATAATGTGTGTATATAGCTGCACGTGGAAAGAGAGGAGCATGTAAAGTCCGGATATTTTCTGACCGTCCCTCGTATAATAAAGCCAAAAAACATAACACCTCCAATCCTTAAGAAAAAGATTAATGAAATTAACCTTTTAAATTGCCAGAAGGCAATTAACATAGTATATTACACACGGCTGGCGACTGGATAAAGCATCAGGAATAATTTCATATTTGCCCCTAACATGTCTTATGTCAAGACCATACTCTTGTAACATAAATTCCACCTAAACAATCTCTGGTTCCTATTTTTTACTTTATGCAAAACCTTGAGGGCATTTATGTCACTTAAAACAACAATTGGTATCTCGAAGAAGATACGTTAACTTCAAAATGTTGAATCGCAAGTATAAGAGCTAAACACTTCTTCTCTATTGCA